TTTACAACCCTGTCTCTTTCAATATAAAAGTCTTTACTGTTGACTCATAAAAACAATCTCTTGTTGCCCTCTAATGGCAGAATAATGTAACTAAACACCATCACGAACACACACCATTTTCCAATACTAAATACTATTTACATTTACATTTAGTCATTTAGCAGATAAATGTATATAGGTAAATGTTATAGTATTAAATTAGTATTTAATACTATAAAAACACATTTTTTTTATTTATTTTTTTTAATAAAAATATTTAATAAACTACAACAACAACCATCATAAAAGTTGCTAGGCAATTCAGTCGAAAGAACAAAGGCAGTGCTCTGATATACAGCATTCAAGTTACATAAAATATAACATGATGAGATGTTGCCCTCAGCCCAAACTATTTGCTCTGGAACAAATAATAGATTGCATTTGTTTTTCATATCACAAATCTTCATTGGTATAGGATGCACTTATCATTTATATCTTTTAAAGACGCAGTAAGCTATTTCTGACAAATACTTGATATTTAAAAAGACCAAAACAAACATGCCCCTACCCAAAAAGATCACACCCCTGTACGTATAGCCCCGCCCAAAATTCACAAACATGCGATGCAACAGGCAGCTCCCCATTATTAGTGGACACGCCCCTTACTTTTCATTGGATAAGTGTGTTCTGATACTCGGTCCGATCCACTTTTAACAGTGTTTCTCAGAATTCACTTACTGCACCTTTAAAGTTTGTTATATCCAGACATTTCAAATTTTGAAATCCCGCCCTCTAAAGTCTTGACACACAATGATTGACATTCACACCGCATTTCTGACTGGCTAATACAGGTGCATCTCAATAAATTAGAATGTCGTGGAAAAGTTAATTTATTTCAGTAATTCAACTCAAATTGTGAAACTCGTGTATTAAATAAATTCAATGCACACAGACTGAAGTCGTTTAAGTCTTTGGTTCTTTTAATTGTGATGATTTTGGCTCACATTTAACAAAAACCCACCAATTTTTTTTTTTTATTGGTCTTATGAAGTATTCTAATTTGTTGAGATAGTGAATTGGTGGGGTTTTGTTAAATGTGAGCCAAAATCATCACAATTAAAAGAACCAAAGACTTAAACTACTTCAGTCTGTGTGCATTGAATTTATTTAATACACGAGTTTCACAATTTGAGTTGAATTACTGAAATAAATGAACTTTTCCACGACATTCTAATTTACTGAGATGCACCTGTATAGTGCGGGTCATTTCTTGGACTATTTTTGTTGTTGTTGTTGTTGTTGTTGTTTACAAAGCCTAAAGCAGTCACAGAGACGGGTATGATCTCTCTAAATATTTTTTATTTTCTTTTTTTTCACTGATATCTTTCAGGCATTAACAACACTTTTTTGTATGTTATTGATTGAAGGATCCTGTACAGATGTGTCTTTTAATTCAGAACTAGAGCGTCTAAGTAGGCGTATCACGTGTTTTTACGGTGTAAAATTACACTTTTTGCGTCTGCAAAAAAAGTTGCACATCCAAAATTTATTTTTTCAACTAGAAAGTGAAGCTCTCGACTCTCTTGTGATGTGAAAAATAAAAAGATTGATGTCATGTATAAAAAAAAAAAACTTTTGCTGGGTGAAATGGTCAGCAGTGCTTTTCAGTAGATTTGTACAAGAGTTACACATCACATCACATCTCTCTGACAGACTCACAAAGTGCAGTTCTGAGTTCAGACAGAAGGAGGCGCCAGGCACCGGTCACCGTTAATCACAGGGCAACAGACAATACCCAAGACAATACCGAGCAGCACCGCCCACAGTCAGATAATCATATGAATATGTAAATTAGCCTGGAATTTAATCTGGCTATATTAATTGAGTTATCGTGAAGCCTAGCCTGTTAGTTGTGTTATTGCTTCATTAATACTCAGAGTCCGTTTGAAACCATAAAGAGTTTGTTACATTCCTAACTAGTTTTACAAGCATTTTTGATTTTAGTACACGCTCTCCCTCCTTTTTTATCTATTTCTAGTGCTGTTTACAAGTAGGAGGTCTGTATAATAGTAAGGGGTGCAAATAGACAATCCTAATGCAAAACACACACACACACACACACACACACACACACACACACATATATATATATATATATATATATATATAAAAACAAAATAATAAAAAAAAACTAATACACTGTATAATAATTGTATTTAATGAAAACTGTTCATCTAAAATAATAGTAATAAATAATAATAATGCATTTCTTGGAACTGCACCAATGTATTTTTTTTCTTTCTTTATTTATAGGGACATGCAACCCCGTAATTGGCTAATTGATGTGATTTTGGCTAATTAGTTGTAGCAGGTGTCTAATGAGAATCTTGAAAAAGCTTTCTTTATTGAAGGAGAAATGACTTATTGTATGTGAAAGCACTACATGAGCACGTGTTTATAATGATCTTAATGTATTGACAAATGTGCGTGGTTTCTGAGAGTGGGATTCTGGGTAAAAGATTATCTTTTGTTTTATTCTCTCTTTTGAATCTAGTCAGAGCTTGAAAAAGAGCTGCCTCTTTATCAGTGTTCATTTGAAGTTCTCTGCTCTTTGGTTCTTCTCATGCCTCATAAGAGCTTTCCATTTCATACCTTCAGTGCTCTCACCCTTCCCTACATGAGGCTCAGCTGCTATATTAATCCATTTCAATACCCAAACTACATGTATCATGAGTCTGTCCAGCTCCAGCTGAGTGGGTTGTAAAAGTAACCAATGAATAATAACTTGTTTTTCCCACCATTTTGCTAAATAGAAAATGTGATTCAATACATGATACAAATGTTTACAGCTGATCAAGCTGTACAGCTAAAAAAAAGAAAATCCTTAAAAATCATAATTTATTCATGGTGATTTTATATATATACTGTAAAATGTAAGTATATTTTAAAAGAAAAGAGTTTAAAAGAAAAAAATCCAGTCTTTCTACTTCAAAAACATGTAAAATTTCATATATATATATATATAAAATAAAAATATAAAAGAGAGACATATAAGGTGTATGTATATATATATATATATA